GGTGGTGGTGGGAAGAACTGATTTGAGCGGTTATGTCGCATGAGCTCCTGATGATCCCCTGGGAGGCGCGTAAGGCGAAGGCAGTGTTTTCTCAATCTCGTGCCTCTCATCTAGCTGCTGAAATTCCTATGCAAAACATATTTCATGACCGAAGGCGTGAAGGTGGCCAGAATGGCCGATGCATCGGCGGCGGTTTTGGTGGTGATTCGGGTGAAGGTGCCCAGAATGGCGACGTCGTCTGCGGCGGCTTTGGCTGTGGAGACCGCTCGCCCTCTCTCCACGAAACCATCAGGGCCATGCAGCAGCTCCCCTGCGGGAAAGCATCCGAATCGGACGCGTTCCCTTTTGATATCTACAAGCACGTTGGCCCCCAACTTATGGAACACCTGACGGTGCTTTTTCAAGAGATGTGACGTCAAGGAGAAGCACCGAGGACCTCAAGAACACCACAACACTCTACCTCTACAAGCGGCCACACACTGTTATAGAAAGTTAGTCAGGAGCACTTAACACCATCAAATCGAGATATTGGAAATATTTGCGGGTGGTAATGGATTCCAATATCTTATGACTCTTTGCGAGAATAAGGAGGAATGTTGATTGGTTCGGCACAGTTCCATTTTGAGTTGGCAATCACGCCGTCTATTATTCGCTTCGATGCCATTTAGAAAAGATTTTTCATCTGAGACGTTAGTGTAAGGTCAGCTTCGTCCTGCTTATAGTGGAGAGTGTAGAGGTTTAACGCGATCAGGCGTCGTTACTACATCAAATTATTGAGTTCATGCACAAGCTTGGTAGCATGTCGTACACCATCGAGAAAATCTATGTCTATCCGAAGACATAGCTCATACCGCATATGCCAGATGTGACGGCATAAGTGCTGCGCATAACTCACCGAACATATCCGCATCCAGTTCGCCAGATGCTCTGCGCATTATCCTCGTAGTTGACGCTACCAGCACTTCGACCTTGGAGTACTGCGTTGTAATGCTTAAATCGTCTGCTACGAATGTCCCAAGGACTTTTTGCCCATTTGCTACTTTATGAGGTTGATTATAAAAGAGATACCCCCATGAATGTATATTATTCATTCGCCTAGCTGACACTACCACACTGAAAGGTCGACATTGAATTTCATGCATCAGAGCTCACTCCATGTCTGCAGCCATTCTATATCCTGTTGCTCTATCTGGGAGCTAATAACAGCAACTGAATGTCTCACGTCCAATGCTTTCGACCAACGTTCGAGTGATGTGAGGAGGTTTGTAAGTCGGGACCTCTTCTCGTAGAAATCATGCTAATCTGAGCAGGGGATGACTGTCGCTACATTCATTCGCTGTGCTTGAGCTGCGTAGGCAATGCGATGTCTTGATGCTCACAGAGATGTAATTTAGAATTCAATTGACCTCCCGTGCATCTTAACAATGAAATTGGCTGCAAACTGCAGTCCAGCCTAAAGCAAACTTTCGGCTCTAATTTGGAAGGGCAGCCAGATAGCACACACATTGTCCTAAATGTGATGCTGGGGATCTGCATCACTGGCGTTGTTCAAATGCCAGCACTTCCAGTGTGAACGACGTTTCCGGTATCAAAAGCAACACTTCCGTAGGCATGGCGCACTCGAAGCCTTGCGACAGACATCCACTTCGTGTTTGGCGATTTTGACACATGGGTTTGGATGCGTCCATGCTATCGGATGTGGAATCCTACAGTGGGAATGTGTGTGGGGGGGAGGGGAAAATAATTTGCGCGGGTATGTCGCATGAGCACCCAATGATCCCCTGGGAGGCGCGTAAGGCGAAGGCAGTGTTTTCTTAATCTTGTGCCTCTCATCTAGCTGCTTACATTTCTATGCAAAACATACTTCATGACTGACCAATTTACCTGATCGACACTGACCTGACTTGACACTGCCCTTCATCATTGCAAATGCTCCTCTACAAACACAACAAATAATGGCACTCAAACCCGAAAGACGCACATGTGGACTCCATCTATCACTATTGTCTACTACACTATCCCATCTTCTGCAGACCTCACAGACTCACTGTATGCCTCCATATGAACATCAGTAGGGTTATGTCATACGCAGAGGAGACCGAATAGGCTTTTGGTCGTAAGCAGTCATAATGGTGTGTGCATTGTGCAGAAGGTGATGTTGTGGTGGTGTGTCTGTGTTCGATGCTGAAGCAAGAGATGGGGAGTGCTGTTAGCTTAAGGTGTACATCAGGCCTTTTGCCACCCTCAATAGTCATAAGACCTCCAGGTATTGCACTTTCTGGACTGTGGATTGCGGCTATCTGTAGATGGAAAGCAGGCCTGTTGCCACCACCCTTAATAATTATACGACCTACAGGTATTACAGATTCTGGAGGGTGGAGTGGAGATATCTTCAGTTGAAAATCATGGTCATACCACCTCCAGGTAGGTGTAGAGTTGGCAGAAGTGTTCGATGCTGATTCTAAAGCTATTACAGGAATTACAGTTTTTTAGGGGTAGAGTTCTGGCAGAAGGCGGAAATAATAGCAACGGCTCGATCGCAACTACATCAGTTAGGGGTTCGGGTTGGGATTTAAGGTTGGAGATCCACCGTGCACACGCACACCCTCCCTCAATCCGTCTGCGCCATCACAACCACCAACACCACCACCACCACCACCACCACCACCAGCACCACCA